TTCTCAGATAGGGAATAATGAATTCTATAAGGTATTTTCATTTTTTTTGTTATTTATTGAATTTAGAGAGAGAGGAAGGGGAAGAGGGAAGAGAAAGAAAGAGAGAAAGAATAAGAAAGAGAGAGAAACATCAATTTCTTGTTCCACTCATTTATGCATTCATTTGTTGCTTCTCGGATGTGCCCTGCCAGGCATTCAAACTCCGTAGCCTTGGCCTATAGGGACATCACTCTAGTCAACTGACCTCCCAGCCACGGCTGTTATTTTCATTTTTAAGTGAAGACAACGTAAAAGATCAAAGCACATCTTTTTTTAAATTACATTTTAAATTCAAACCATCTCATTAAAGAAGAAATTTGAAATATCTGAAAAGGCCAAAATCTCTCTCCACTGCAGAGGAAAAGATACAAACAAGTTTTCCTTCTAAAAAGTGCAGACTACCATAGAACTATTATAAACATAAAGGGGAATCTGATAAATTTTCTGTGGTTCAGAAAAAAAGACTAAAAAGATCATTAGTATTTTACTTAAAATTTAAAATAAAAGCCAATGTTTTTCTTCAACTTATTAACCTCTACCAATTATCATTGCTATCAGGGACTTTACCATAATATTCAGAACAATAAAAGAGCCTGCTTTAGAAGAAAAATTAGCAAGATAATAAACTCAGAAGCCATAAAGGAAAAACTTGACAGAAATTAACCACACAAAAAGTTTTGTATCTAGGTGAAGATAACATCAACAAGTTAAAAATTATGTAGGGGAAAATACATCACTAAAAATGTCAAACGATAAAATAATAATAACAATGAGAAAAAATACATGACAAAGTCCCAATATACAGTTCTCACACAAAAAAATGAGGGGGGGGGAAAAAACACAAAACAAAATAATTTAAAAATAGGCAACTGACATGACAATTCTTTTTTTTTGTTTGTCAACCCTCACCTAAGGACATTTTTTCCACTAAAAGAGAGAGAAACATCTATGTGAGAAAGACACATCCATCGATTGGTTGCTTCCCGGGGGCAGGAA